AAAAACCTATGTCATGTCAGGTGATCCAGTTTTAGTGGATATGTGGTGCTTTGTGGGGAGTAACCTCATGTTGTTCCTACACAAGATCTCGAGCTATTCCTAGGTTCAACATTCCATTGTGGTTAATACTGTCAGTGAATGGAAAACTGACCAGTACAGAGGAAAGTTAATCATTCAAAAGAGTGAAAATATAGACGCATAAGCCTAAAATAGTTTAAAACAAGAAATAATGAGGAGATTTTCAGGGTTATCGGCGTTCGCCTGGCCTTTTAAATCTGAGTGATTCAGGTTCCTATGAAACAACTGGGGATAGCGTATGAGGTTGATCAGGAGGCTTAAGACAGTGAGTTGTAAGTAAACAGGTGAACGACCAGTCTGAGGTCAGACAGATGAGAGGATGCATGTTCGGAGATCCGTGAGGGAAGTAATTTCGTCCGGCCCCTAAGCCCTCAGGCTCACTTCACATTCAGCATAGTCCCAGGGTTGAAGATATCAGAGTCAGGCCAGAAACCTCTTCAAGGACAGGTTTCAAGCGCACACACAACAACGGAAGCCAGACTTTACAAGAGCTCTTTAGGCCTGGCGCTACAAGCTTTGTTATTCCCTTTTCGATAGGCTTTCCATGGTCACAAAGTGAACTACAACATTCGCCGATAAGTTCTTGCCTCTCACATATGTCTCATTGAACAAATAGATAGACTGCTCAAAGTTAAATGAATATTCTCCCATTACAGGCACTATTACTCTGTTGAAATATCCAAGGTTTAATGAAAATGTCAGGATGTGTATACTCCCGTAATGACTTCCCAGGTCGGCGTCAAGCATTCGGCTGGTCGTAAGATCGGCTTGCCAGTCTGAAACTATTTTGGGTACAAAGTCGCCCAAAGCTACAAATAAACTTTCATAGACACTAAAGGAAGGTGTCAAGCCTCTTCTTCAAGCTCGTTATGGGGCGGGACTGCCACTACTTCGTAACGTAACGCATGCTATGCCTTCAATACCGTGCAAATGAGGAAATTCTACCGAATTCTGTATCTTACCAGGGAAAGTAAGTCTGTTTTCTCTCCTTTTGCTGCTAACATTAAACAAACAAAACCAACCATGCTTAACGTGATAGATTCCCATAACACATTCACTGCTATGCACATTTCAGCCATTCAGGCCTAAGCATCTGCTACCTTAGCCTAGCACCCGAAGCCTGCAAGACTGACTTTTCGTTCATAGGCTAGGCAAAGGTATGCGTGAAAACGGCATGAGCCATGATTGACAATAAACGTGTCAACGATTTTAAATACCTAGATGAGGTCCCTACCCCCCTCGCTAACCTCGAGAGAGTGAATATAATCCTAACGCTTCCACAAGGATATCATTATTGATCATTCTCTCAGCTAATCTCTGGACCCTGTTACCACAATGGCTGTTGTCATTTTTGGTTATCAACTCGTGTCATTCACAACTGCATCATCATCAAAGAGGGACGGAATGAAGAGGATTTCACGTCCATGATGTGAATATGGATCCATGAGCACAGATACCACCCCAAAAGCAATAGTAAGAGAAGGAAAGTAGTACACTTGGCCTTAATATTCCAAAAAGCAGCCATGAAAACTTTTATGTACAACACGTAGCTGAGTTTTCGAGGAAATGCAGAAATTATTATCACGAGAGCAGCAAGTAAATCTTAAGGCCGCCCAGAGATGGCGCGGAAGCATCTCGGTGAATATGTCTAATTTATGTAAATTACCACAGTTAAGTTATTGTATAGCTAGATTTATGGTACCGGTCAGACCAACATTAAATGGAATGGGAAAGATTCGAAACTGCCGTAAAGTTGATTAAAAATAAGCGATTAAAACTGGTCAGTAGGGGAGAAATAAGGGACACCGGTGAGTTAGGCACCGGGAAGAGGAGTGACCTCGCAGAAGAACGACCGGATCGGCGATCCCAGCGATCCCCAACGACCAGAAAAAGCAAGCGACCGACGCCTAGCGATCGAGAGAAGCACCCCGAAAAGCAATCCCCCTATCGACTAACAATAATCCTATTAGATCCAAGGACACTAAAAAACATCACCCCAATCCCCTGACGACCACACTCCCTAGACCTAGCCCGTGAGTAGTCCCAGCTGCGCCCCACAGACCGTCCACTGACCTCAAGCACGGAGAGCGGCCGTATCGGCGATCCCGATCCCGTCCTTGGAGACCATCGGCTGAGAGCCCTTACCCGCCTCCCAAACCCTGAGCTGACCAGCAGGACTTAGTCCCCAGCGAACGCAGGGCCCTAGGAAGTGTCATCCCTTCTCCCTCCCCCTCCCTGTGATCAGTGACCTCCGAGAGCCTGAGGGAGACAACCACGAGTGACCTCCCCCAAAGGAAGCGACACCGACATCTGTCGGAGACTTCCAGCTCTGACAGCGGCCCTGAATTGGTTATCGACTAAAACAAACGACTGACTCATCTTTGTGTACGTACCAAGGAGGGAAAATAAAGAATATGTTTTGTACTGTCGACGTACGTGTACTCTCCTGAGCCCCTCCACCCGGACCCACGGTGTCTTGAGTACCGTGTACCAGACACGAATTAAAAGAGAAGACGGGAAAGCTCGGTCTCCCGTAACAATATCTATGTGATCATTGCAGTATAGACTGAGTTAATCTTCTCAGCACCCATCGTTGGCCTGTCTCCAACAGGTCAGTGAAAGGGTGCAAAAAGCAAACATTTAAAAAAAGAAATAGTGACGCGCATGAATGGATTAACGAGATTCCCACTGTCCAGCGAAACCACAGCCAAGGGAACGAGATTGGAAAAATTAGCGGGGAAGAATACCCTGTTGAGCTTCACTCTAGTCTGGCTTTGTGAAGAGACAAAAGACATAACTCTTCTGTCGGCGTCTCACGCGTTGTGTTGCTGCTCAGCATATAAGCATGTCTAAGACAAGCTTAGATGTTGAGACAAGCGACCGACTCAGTCGGATTCCCCTGGTCCGTGCCAGTTCTGTCTAATCAAAACAAAGCATCGCGCGTCCCCCTGCGGGCTTCGACGCGATGTGATTTCTGCCCAATGCTCTGGAGGTCAAAGTGAAGGAATTCATATAGTTACTCCCCCCGGACAGTCAGGTCAAAGAGTCACATGCGTGAGTAAACCTAGGGAGTAAGTGGATGTATCTCGGGAGTCGAATGCACCTTTTCCTTCGTTGCTATTTCCTTTCTCCAGTAGGTTAGGTGACACGATTATATAGCTTATCCCTAATAAATCTGATACGCGGGTTCCATCATTCTTATTTAGGCGCTTCCTTGGTTCTTATGATTGGCAATCCTTTGAACTAAATCTTCTGGCCAATTTGCAAATAAAAAGTCTCGGATAGCAGCATCAGGACCCATAAGTCGCGTTGATGGGCTCGAGGTCAGAACAATTTAGCCAAAATATCTGTCCGGAAGGATCTTGTTGGAAGGCTGCCAGTAGAAGGAAACTATTGTCATACTTGCGAGAGAACTTTTTTCGCTCCTACGTATTGTCTAGTGAAAAGATGACCCTCCCTTCCAAGCAAATGTCCTAATTGTCCACGTTCATTTTTTACCAGGTCAGGAATGTCTGCTATTGTACGTCTTGTGAACACCATGTCCACCATGTGTACACCCATCCTTTAAGCCCAGTCTTCGCCTTGTGACTATAGCCATGTACTAAGTATAAAGCATGGGTGGAGGAGGCCTAGAATATATTTTCCAGCCTTGATTAAGTCATCTTATCCATTTTCCATGAAATGCGCCATATTGAAGCGCCTCCCCAGCGCTCTCTTACGGTTTCCGTGCGCGGCTATCTGCCGGGAATTTTTATTTCTACTGGAGCTGAACGCCGACTTCTAATTCTCATATACAGTCAACTCTCGTTAATTCGGACTGGAGGGGACTGGTGATTTTTCCGAATTATCGAGTCCCTGCCCGAGTGACCATTTTCTTCTTTTTTTTTTTCAAGAAGAAAACCGCACAAAATGAAGGCTCCTCATTACTCGGTTCCAGGAAATTGGGGAGATCAAACGTTTATTTATTTATTTATTCATTTTAAATCCAAGGGTGAGGGAAAGTAAAGAAAAGGGGAAAAGACAGGAAAATCTTTTATTTTCTATTGTATTATAAATATTTTGCTGGAAAGTCCGGATTACTGGCATTCGGATTAACGAGAGTTGACTGTATTGCACATATAGCAATAGTAGCAACACAAGGTTGACATTGACATGACATGACATGACGATCCTTGAACTGATACCAATGACAGTCTTCCAGAGGATTATCTCCGATTATACCACTCCCTCCTCATACCCTCCTACTCACTCACCCTTTGTTTCTGGCTACCTGAAACGCCTATAAAAACATGGAAGGGAACACACATATCCCAGTTGCAAGATCATCTCCTCCTGACTACATCTCACCTCCTGACTACATCTCACCTCCTGACAACATATCACTTCAACCATGGCCGTTCCTCTCCACGACCCAGACATCCCCCAAATTAGCGCGATTCTCCTGAATGATGTAACTGCAGCAGAATTTGCAGTTCAGCAGGGTCTGCTACCAGACTGCGCACATCGTGCGCAAGCTCCTGGATGCTGGGTAGCTGGTTGCCCCGGTATGTTGAATTTTCTATCGCTATTTTGTTTTCTACATTGCTTACACTTGAGGTGCTAGTTCACGCCATGTTGTGCATAGTTCACATGTCATTCGATTGTATGGTATAGGGAGAGTGTACAACAGCATCAGACCTGGCCGAAACGGAGCCAGGTACGCCATACTCAGGTGCAAGAAATGTAAGAGGTTCCGGAGTGCCAGAAATGGGCCGGAAGCGATTGGTGGCGCGGGACGAGGGAGGGAAGGAGGCACTTTTTTCTCCTTCAAGGACAGGCTTGATCGCCCTTGCTCCAAATTGAGCATTCGGACGGTTTATTATTTACTCTATTGTTGGGCTGCTGATGTCACCATCAAGCATTGCCAGTTATTCATGTCTTCAATGATCTCACCTACGCGAACGGAAACTCTTGTAGATTGGAGGAATTTCATCAGGGAAATACTTGCAGCTGCTTTGGACGCCGCACCTCCGATGGGGGGACCAGGAGAAGTTGTCCAAATTGACGAAAGCTGTTTCCGGTAGGGATACGCGAAGACGCGTAGACATGGAAATAATTATGCATTGACACGATGCAGGATTAGAGTGGTCGTGGTCTCTGTCTCTGTCTCCATCTAGCGGTCGACGAAAGAACAACAAAGGTTGCCTGATGGCGGGGAACAACTTCCCGCCCGCCCGAATGAACTACGGGAATCGGGTGACTGGTCCCTGGGTATTTGGGATGGCATGGCTTCACGGAGGTCTGTCGGAGACCAGGCTTTTCATTGTCGAACGTCGCGACAGAAAGACACTCCTCCCGATTATACGCCGCCACATCCGCCCGGGGACAACCATCCGCTCGGACGAGTGGGCCGCGTATGTAAGTCTCGGTAGACTTGGCTTCATCCACGAAACTGTGAACCATTCACAGAATTTTGTGGACCCCAACATTGGAGCAAACACACAGAGAATCGAAGCACAGTGGGGATCGATGAAGCAGAGGATATTGAAGAGGGGCCGAGGAATGAGAATCGAGCTGCTGAGGAACCACTTGGCAGAGGCATGGTGGCGTATCCTGCACCCCAAAACGCCGTTTTGGGACATTTTGAATGAACTTCGGCTGCGGTACCCCCGGAACGGCTGGAATGACATTACGTCCCAGCCAAGGCGGCGAGAGTATGGATTAAAGGTTCGACGCGTACACGCGCTGCTCCCCGCCCATTGTTATCAGCCTGATGTTGCTCTATAATAAACCTTTACGCGTCGGGTGACGCATATAAACGTCAACCTATATTAGCGCGGATGACGTATAGTAACGCGAGTTTGATTAAATCCGTCGCGTATGCGGGCTGTACCCGAAATTGTATCTGTAGATTACTTGGCCCTCTTGCATTTGTATATACTACAGATTCCAATAACTATTTTGCAAATCCAGGGGGTCGATTTAGCCACCTCCCCCGAAGTCAAAGGGTCAATGCAGCTCTCCTATAGGCAACAACATCCTCACGTTACTCATTGGTCAGTGTAAGACATTCGCAACCTCGTCGCTTCTCTTCCGCGGGCGCATCCCATCCCACCCAACCTAGGACTTGGAAAGGCATTGGCCTGAAGGCCTATCACTGGCATGGATGAAACGCGCCTTACCTATGACGTGGAAAGACAACCATCTACTACCAAGTCTACGATCTGGAAAGGCAATAGCTTATAGGCCAATGGACTACTTAGCCTATGTCTAGGAGGAGTAAAGGCTTATACAACTGTTGCCCCTCATCTTGGCCCCCATGGCCAGAAGCGACACCTACCATGAAACGCCTTGGCGTTTTCTGATATAGAATAGATGGAGATGGATATGATGGTAGGTACACTGATCATGGAGAATCATCTAAAGGAACCTGGTCAGGCTTTGCAACGAGTATCCAAGCCACCGCACTTGGTTGTTGTGGTGGAACGTAAACGCTCAGAGTAAACTACTGAGTAAAGTACTGGGTGGACGAGAAATAATATCGTTCTACTCTGTCTAAGTTGTATGGAGAACGCCTTAAATATATAAGGATGCATTGTTTCTTTGCAACTTGTAATGCGGTGAGTGTGCCGTCAGGTCCGTTCTCGAATGTGACATAAGAGCAAGGGCGACTGAGAGGATGTGTCCGCTCAGAGACGGACAGAGTCCTCCACGAAAGTCCTTGCCACTCACCCCGAAATCATTGAGTTTCGTTTGAATGTGTTCTTCAAGGCGCAGCTGCGATGGCCCGGGTTCGAAACCCGATCATCCAGTAGCGAGGCGTGACGAGCGAGAGGGGCTCTGGAAACGATTTTTCGTTTTCTCCCCAGATATATATACTATACAAGGATCTCTACGTCGATTTCACTCGCTTCGAGCGGCTGGAGTGGTGTTTTTCCGTTTCAGAAATCGATGTAGTCTGGGACGATCTGATCTGCTTCGAGACTGGAGAAATTCAGGCCGGATCATGCGGAGCGTCTTCGGACTGGTCGAATCCGTATCCTTTGTGATGTCCACTATACTAGATACATGTAATCATAACTCTTTTGACCGTCCCAGCTTCAAGAAGAACGCTTCCTGCCATGATAAAACTATATCCTATGCCGGTAATAAAGAATTTCCCTACATTCATAGTGTTGCAAACCATTTTAGTAAATGTAAAACATCTGCCACTGATCCTCAACCCTCCCACCTTCACAGACCTCACTTCGCTCTCTTAACCTTTCTCGTGTCTCGACTGCTCGAGACGCTCTTAGGCTTGGCCCTCCACCGCAAACGTGCCCACGCCCGAGAATTTAATAATGAAATAGGTTATAAATCCTAGTTTTTGGCCATGGTGATGCGACTCCTATAGGAAGTGGACACCCTGTGCGCACACTGGGAAACACTGGTCCGTATGGAAAGATGTTGATCGAATGCTTGGAAACGGCTGCATTAATTAATTATGCTCGATGCGAGCCTCACTGGCCAGCAACTGGAGACCAGCCAGAAACCGGGGTGCATACTCTCTATATTACCCATACAAGAGCTAGATGGTCTGTAGAAGAGATCCATAATATAGCCGAAACGGAATCTAACCTAAGCAGTACATGCTCCAACATAAACGAAGTTCTACACCCTCTCTTTCTCCATCGTTGCATTGTAGCCATTAAAGGGAAAGTAGGCCTCATTACACCAACCCCCACCTTTAACTACAATGACCGCTCAGTCATCGTCGTTTTATGGTGAGAAACGTAACAAATAGACAATGTAAAACGTCCGCGCAGAAAACCATTCATTCATGCTATCATGATATATTAGACGATAAGTCTGCATGCCTTCGCCTTTCCATGTGGTTAAGCGCATTTCGTGATTCGTCCTTGCAGCTCTTAGGCCTTCGAGCTCGTGCCTTTCCAGGACCTGGGCCAGGTGGGATGGGTTAAGCAGCTTAAGGATGTGTGGTGCCATTCGCTCGCGGAAGAGTAGCGGCGAGGCTGCGAAGGTTTGCACTGACCAGTGATCAACGTGAAGACGTTAATGTCACGAGGAGAACTGCCTTAATTGTAAAGCAACTTGAGGCTGTTAACGCTGAGAGCAGCCCGCGTACGCGTCGAACCTTTCATACTCTCGCTGCGTTGGCTACGACGCCCAACGTCATTCCAACTGTTCCGCACGATTCGACTCCATGAATGTCGAATACTCTGTTGAGCCACTGCCTGACTTTGTCTTTCTCCGCTTCGAAATGAAGACTTCGGCAAGGTTGTTGACATGATCATATTGCAGTGTTCCTTTTGGTACATCGATTGTTGACATTACCGGTAACGGTCCTTACTGTTCCAATACCTCCGGCGAGGTCTATTATTATGATGATCATCATATAACCAATGATGTCGTTCCTCCACTAAATTAAGTTCAACCACTAGCGTATCTTCAACTCTACGTTCATGACGCGGGTGAAGTGGTTGAAATGCAGCAGCTCATGAAAATTCGGAACGGGAAGTGCATCGCTCTTTGCCAGTGCCACTCTTCCCATCCGATAACAAACAATTCCTATACACCACACGAATTCTCATACTGAACGTGGCATTCATTGCGCAAGAATCAGGCAATGATTCCAGCTACAGACGTCAGCATTTCGGATCAAGCGCCGATTTTTCGCAATACTACATTTGAGCATTGCCTGCTCGCGAGTTCACTCTGGGTATTCCCTGAAGATTCAGCTTATCGATGGACCGAAGTAGGTCGAAACTAATGCTGGTACCGTTACCGACGAAGTGGTCTTTGAAGAAGCACTTCTTTGTTTCACAGATCCGTTCGTTTGGATTATTTTTGTTCATTATCATATTAACTTTCCGTTTCGTTCCCACGTTTGTCCCGTTTCTTGATCTTCCATGGTTTCTTCAATATTTATTTACTTTACCCATGCTGAACTAATTTTGGCTATTGATCTGACCTATAGACTGAAATTTGAACTTGCGCATATTGGCAGATGCAGCACGCTGTGCCTCAGCATCTCTTTAATCTACAGTTCACGATGGAACATTATGCAAGTTTTGGCAGCGGGAACCTGGCTAAAACTGTTCTTAAGCATTTTCTTACTGCTCATCAACTATGTACGGGTAGAAGGCCGCAATTGCGGCCATTGGCCACTAGTACTATCTTGGAATATGCTAAAGCGTTTCTTGGTAAGTGTAGCCTCTATTTTATATATAATTTTATCCATCCAACACAGGCTCGGTAGCCGACCGGTCTACAATGCTTAGCTTTTCCAGATTGTAGGCAAAGTGGTAGCCAAAAGGCCTACGAGCCTTTGCCTCTCAATCAAAGGGAAGGCGAGATAGATTAATTCTTTCACTGCGAGCATTTTAGCTGACACTCGTAATCTCTGTTCTTTTCACGTACTATAACATAGGGGAACGTAAACATACGTTCGAGCGTCCAAGAGCCTGAATGCCGAGACATTAAGATTTTTCTTTCTCCACTTTGTCTCCTTCAGGGGCGAAATTTTCAAGAAAAGACCAAGGCCAAAAGGTAATGCAAGGATATCGAATAAATTTCACAAAACTCTTTGAAAAAATGCCTTCACTGACTGGTAAAATATGGCACACGCATTGCACATGGTAGGTGTGAAACTTTGCGATGACAATGGGATTTGGAAGGTTCCTGTATAATATAGAATTACGTTCTTGGGTGTAACATGTTTACTCAAGGTATAGAAACATAATTAATTGGTTTTCACATTACTACATTTTTTCAAAGGTTTCACCTTCCCCCAACCTCAGCCCCTCCCCCTTCTATACGGAACTCACTAACGTTAGGCCTAACCGACGGACTGTCATCGGGTCAGGCCTAGGCCTACCTTTTTTTTCTTTCAAAAGAAACTCAATCCTCGGCCTACGGGGTATTATACGTTATGCACACAATGGCAATCAGACGCGATCCAGATCTTCATGAATTTGCAGCTCTGACTGCCAATGACGAATCCGCCATCGCCTTCGCAAGGGAATGTCACCTCCTCCCTCAAGCCAGCACACAACCTCCCCCATGCAAGTACCCCGGCTGCCCAGGTTTGTTGGCATTCATGCACAATTATGGGTAGGAATTAGCATGGGATTGGAGCGTCTTTGAGTTGTTATGCTGTACGGTTTTTCTAAGGGACCCTGTACGACTCAACAAGAAAACACAAAAGCGGAAACACTTTTCCCATCGTGATGTGCCGCAAATGCAAGCGGTACTGGAGCTCCGGGAATGGCCCTGATGTCCTCGGGGGTCCAGCAGCAGGTCGAAATGGAGGCACTTTTTTTTCTTTTAAGGGTAAAGGATCGTCCGTGCTCCAAGCTCGGCATTAGGACAGTTCTGTCCATTGTGTATTGCTGGGCACGTGACCAGACGATCCGACAGTCACAAAATGGCTGGCCTCCATGCTGTCCTCTAAACGTGAGGAGACCCTCGTTCACTGGCGTAACTTCATTCGGGAGCTCCTGTACCGCAAGCTGGAGAGCGCACCTCCGATGGGCGGCCCTGGGCAGATAGTGGAAATCGATGAAAGCTGTTTCCGGTTCGTGAACTCGAATCTCCTACAATCCCGTCCATTTCTTTCCTGAGACGCTCACCCTTGGAGGATTTCATTCTTATTCACAGGGGTAGACGCAAGAACAACAAGGGGAGGTTGATGGCTGGCAATAACTTCCCTCCCGCTCGTCAGAATTACGGTAATCGGGTCGCTGGTCCCTGGGTATTCGGGATGGTGTGGAAGCATGGAGTCTCCGAAACTCGCCTTTTCCTTGTGGAAAGGCGAGATCGGAGAATCCTGCTTCCCATTATCCTGACGCACTTTCAACCAGGGACCACGATCCGATCGGACGAGTGGGGGGCGTAACAGGGGCTGCACCAATACGGGTTTACACAGGAAACAGTGAACCACTCCCAGAATTTCGTGGACCCAGTTACCGGTATGGATATAGATACCTAGGGTCTATTTCGTCCCGGAAGGCATAATAGTGTCGGTACTTTTCCTAGGTGCTAACACACAACGAATCGAAAGCTGGGCGCATTTAAAAGCTAGAATCCTGAAGAGAGGAAGAGGGACCCGACTCGCACTTCTGCAGAATCACCTTGCGGAAGGTTAGTGGCGGACCATTCATAAAGCCTCTCCCTTCCTTGACATCTTGGAGATGGGACTTCAGTACCCACAGTGAAGAGGAGAGGCCCTTTTATCATATTACCCTTTTATCGTTCTGTTTTATCCTTACATGGATTGACATGACTTTTCCCACTTTTATTGCTTTAAGTTTTGCCCTTGCCAATTTTCATTCTTTTTTTTTCCCACTTTGCTGCTGGCATGGCCAATTTTGTCATTTACACTCTTGGTCATCTCGTCTCATACTCTACAAATTCTTGTATACGTACACAGCAATAATGCTCCAGTCATTATAATCATTTATCATAAATAAATGTTCTGAATTTAACATTTGCCTTTTACCGCTAATTTCATGGCTTCTCCCAAAGGAAGTACATGTTCTCAAAACATGGCTCCAGAAGTAGACAGTCACCCACTCTTTGGTTTCATGCTGCGGAGCCAGAGGCAGAGCATTGCACCTGACACCTACAGGAATTAGTGTAGAACACTAGTTCTAGCGGATGCGGTTAGATGGCGATGCCATCAACGCGTACGAAATGCGGGGTACGGCTCAACGTACGCCAGGATCAAATTAACGGCATCTAATTTCATTTTTCATGGCGAAATGGTACACTGAAACCAAATCCAAAGAACTCGCCTCCAGGTCAATGTCTTTCGTTTGGTTGGTCTCTTTCCTGAAAAAACTTCTCAGGGGGAAGAAAAAATAAATACCGGAACGACTCTCACGTCTCCCAAAAGCGAGATTCAGTCATCTCCACAACCCCGGGGAGATGGAGCTTTAAATTTGCTGGAGTGATTCTGTTGTTTAGAGAGGAAGAGGTATGCCAAATTCATTCACGTCAATGTTCTCAGAGAGGAATACGAGACGGTTGAATTTTGTCGCCGGAAGGGGTTGAAGCAAGGTAATAGGCGCTACCGCCCTCATCGATTCCAAAGGCGATAGGAATCATTGGTGGCACGACACTCTGTGCTCGAGTATACTCGAGCGCCGCAGCGAAAGCAGTTAAGCGGCTTAATAATTTAGGTTGTGATGGGACGCGCCCGCAGAACGGAAGCGACGAGACAGTGTAGGTCTTCAATGTTCAGTGATCATGCAATGTTAATGCTTACGGCAAAGTTGAATGGAGGTAGCGTGGGGCTGTTAACGCTACGCGGAGAGCAGCGTATGTACGGGTGAAACCACCATCCAATCCTCTCTGCGGTGGTCATTCCTGCCATTCCGCGCAATCTCGGCACCATGATTGTGGAATGCTCTGTTGAGCGCTGCGAGGCTGTTTATTTTGAAGCAAAGAAAGGCTAACTTCGGCGCAGTTGTTGTCGTAACGGTAAGGTGTTCCATACGAACCCATTCGAGTATCCGCGAAGGTTCGAAACGCTGTTGATGTGGGGAAAATACCTCATCCAAACGCAAGCGCAATTTTCGTGAGTTTAAAAGAGTTATGTGCACTACGCGTTTTCTTCCTTCGATGCAACGATTGCTGACATTCCTGGTAACGGTCCATACTGATTCATAATATCCGGCGATGGCTATCACCTGGCTATGAACAGCCTACAAACGTTTGATGATGTAATTTCTCCGCTAAATCAAATGCCCCATTCTGCGTTTTTAATGCGGAGAAAGCGGTTGAAATGCAGTGCCGCATGGAAATTCATAACGGGAAGTATCATACATCTCCGTTTCTTCAATAGGTGGTCAGGTGGCACTGGTAAAACGTTCCCTTACATCTCTCTCACGCTATATGTGAAACGCCCCTGTTCAGGAGCGTTACGTAGACTGGTATTGCTGCAATTTTGCTGCCTGGTGGTATGACTTGTCACACGGCCTTCCACTTGCCATTGGACCTGTCCACGCATATAACGTGTCATTTATCGCGTAAGTTCAGGCGATGCTTCGAACTACCGACGTCATCATGGAGGACCAAGCGCCGACAGGGCCCCCGCCGAAAGGTTGGCTGTGATCGAACGGGCGTTGTTACGAGGCTCGATGGACGATGACCGTCATTCGGTGATAAAGTGGTTGTGCTGGGTGGTGATTTTCGCCTAGTGTTGCCAGTTCCTGGCTCCCAACATGTACACCAGTATTTTTTTGCCATTACCAATGGGACTGCCATACGGGAAAACAATCGAACCTTATGAGAAACTCTCATTCTCGCCGGCCTCCGTGCGTTGTTCGTGCAAATCTGCATTTAGAGCTACGTAAGGAAACAAGGATATTAGCATGATGGGTTTCTTTGCGAAAGCCCGTGTGACCCCATGTGGCGACGAGCTGAGAAATCGCCCCGTATGTCATCATGAAATCTCTGGGTTCCCGGCAGCAGGCGAAAGGCAGTGCAGTGAGCGATGCCAACGTTCCCTTTCGAGAACCACGGCAACTCTCGTTTCCAAGTACATTCAAAAGATAGCGAGACGAGAGCTTAACTCCTATTTCCACTGAAAATTGCCTCCTCTCCTTTTCTTATGGCCGATTTACAAATTTCATTTCGAACAGACATAGCCTCGGATGGCAAGAATGAGTTCTGTCTACGTCCCACGTTCATATCTCTAAGCGTTTGGCCTGTATAGCTATCACACACGCAATGAAGCAGAAAAAATTGTCGCTCTGCCTAACTAGCAGCCAGAATCGCGCACGCTATATGGTTAGCCTTCGGTTTCTACAAGACTATATACAGCCATTTGAAGAGAAAGTAAAATAGGTGAATATCCAAACTTTCAAAATATTACAAGTTTAAGTTTTTTTTAAAAGACACTGAGTCTGGTATCCAAGAGAACACCTGTGTGATTTACAGGTGTTCAATTGGCACGCACAAGAGGCGGAAATAGATGCTCACGCGAAAGAGGAAGCATTCCCTCACGTGCTGGAGGGCGTGGAAAGTGATTGTAGCACAATCATTGCGCACATATCGTTTCAGTTCCTCCATGATCGTATAAGATCAAGGTCGTCCGTACACACTTGCCTACATAGCCCCTTTGAGACTGGACTTTTGACTCGCACTGTATACCTAATATGTAGGTGAAAGTGAAACCTTTAAGTGCTTTGCAACCACTAAAAATGCTCAACTAAATATGACCAAAATTTAAACAATTCGTATTTTGTGGTGGATTTTTCATTCATGTTAAACAATCAACTAGTTTTATCAATGCACATGAAAGAGAAGTGCAGTATTTTGCAATATAGCAATACTTCCCTGAATGAGAGATTTGTCTTTTCCGTTGCCACATTAAGATATTTAGTTATCTAAATTACGTAAATTTAACTTTTTCAATTTCAACAATGATGCTGAAACATCCTTCAAACTCCCATGCCTTGTGGACTGAATAGTTATCTATTGCACGTCTCCGTGCGATGGACTTTTCCTGAGATTGAACGTCTCTCATTCATGAGGTTTATGAATTTCCCCCGATATCACGGGGGCTATATCTCGCTAAGTGAAGATCCGATGGAGGGGAATGAAAGGAAGACTAGATGTCCATCCCATTCTATAAATATATCAATAAATCGGGGTTGTGATATACTGTGCAAGAGTTATATGCGAAATGGGTCATCTTACCCCCATCATCAATGCCTCATGTTCGGGAGATGGAGGCGGGGGGAAGCACGCACCACAGGCCCCTTAACCACTTTATCGTATCGACCGTGTCCCAATTTTCCAAGTCAGGACCTTCACGTGGAGGATGCGGGACCAGGATCGATCCACGTTGTCTCCTTGACACAGAACAGGATGACATAATTCCGAGCTGACAATAAATAACGGATTTTTAGCGAGTAAAAGGACACAGTATCTCCAGCATCTGCATCGTGCATTCCACACGAACAAGAACAATGTCTCCATTCGTTTTGGTAGCGATTCTATCCTTCGCACTCATCGCCGAGGGAAGTTCCCGGGTCAGTTTTGCGCATCTTTCGTCAGACATTGCATCGCTTTCCTCATGTCTCATCATTATCCCGTTGTTTTTTTTTTATTTCAGGGATTTGGTGCAGATGCGAGTAAGATCTCATTCCTTTACGGCGAGCAGCCTGAGTTATCCGTTGTCTCTGTGTTAACCGTTATCTCCTGAGTTGTTCGTTTTCTTATCACTAAACATATTATACAGTATAAACAGTTACATACAACACACAAAAGGCTCCTCATACGTGCGTTTAAAAAACATGTTAGTCTGAAGTAGGAAGACAATACAGAGTTGCCTTAGTGCATGTCAGGATACATCGAAAAGGATTAGGATGTCAAATTTGCAAAAAAGTACACATTAATTAAATGACGTCATGCGAATGTACCGTGGAATTTGGGCCAAACCTGACAGCCGCTCGTTGCTGAGAAATTCAGTGCATATTCCCGAATCACCACTCAAGAACATTAACTGATTGATTTGCACTTGATTGTATATTATGTTGGACTGCTTATATGCATTGACCATCATCAGAGTCGTCAAGTTATTCAGCTGGTGCGATTTCCCATGCGACTCAAAGTATTTAAAGAAGTCATTTCCCATGATTTTCAGTAGTCGTTTTTAAAATCATATTTATTGAAATGATACATGAGTACATTCCAGCAGATGCCAGCACGGCCAAATTGGCCTGGAGGGAGAAACTTCGCGAATTTTTGGCTCATATATGTCATTTCCTAGTTTTTTTTTGCTTTCACTGTTTCGTTCACTTCCAGGTGGTCTATCAAATCCGATAGCCTCAAACGGTGAGTAATAATTTTTCATATTCATGACGCATCTGTCAATAAAGAAGCCGATATCATGTATAATACCTTTTGCCTTCGGCAGCGCTTCCCTGGGGAACGACTTCGGTCATCGCTATCGCAGCGGGTAATACGGCCAATTTCGCAAGCCCAAACTTTGGCGCTCTTTATCCTGGAGGGTTCGCTCGAACCACCATATTCACGGTGAGGCGCCCGATCCTTGTTTTTTTTCCAATTTTGGATTTTGAAATGTGAAATCACACCGTCGTTAAAAAATGATATTCCAGTGTCCGTTCGCCATGACGATGAACTGCCCCACTATCCAGATCCAATGGTCACCCTTCTGCTTAGCTGACTATCTGAAAATCTCCGGCAATGGTGATCGAATGTGAGTCGAGCAAATCTTACTAGCCAAATGATATGTAGTTCCTCTGCAAATAATTCATATTTATCCTCATTTCAACGGGCCAAATACGAAATATTAAACTTTCATGTGTAAATCCAATATGTAAAATCAATATCTATATATTATAGTGTACAGAGCTTCGTACTTTGTGGTGCATGTTATAGCAAAAGAACGGGCTCCTAACGTTGTCATAAATTGGCGGTACTTTCGAAGACTTCGGTTTGCGAGGGAAGGCAAATAGAGAAACACCTTTTGTATTCCCAAAGCTATCCTTTTTATGTGAGATTTCTAGAGCCTGGAAGCATGATACTACATGTCATCACGTGACTGGATGAATCTTGAACCCTTGAAACACAACGGATCGATAGAGGAATACAATGTTGAAGCATTTTCGGTTCTTCTATACCTCGTATATCCATCCATGTTCTCTGATTTCCTAAGCTGTTCCCTTTAACTTTCAGCTTGTGCGGGGCCACTTCGTTGAGCGCCTACAGCGTCCCAAGAGGCGGGACTCTGAGGACCGAATTCAGAACGGATCTCATCAACAGCGACCAGGGCTTCTCATGCACCATCGCATGTGCAACAGCCTGAGACCAGGAACTGAACTTGGATGGAGGACGTCTGTCTATATTATAATGTCCGTCGATGGAATAAAGATTCATCCACTAGAATTCCAGTTTGTGGCTTGTTCATTACATTGCATTTCGATTGCGAGTTCCGAAACGGAGCCCGAGATCATGCAGAAATTTGACACTAGGGAACTGTTGAATCTTCTTTGCAGGAGAAAGGTTAGGCATATACTGTATATTCCTGGGAAGAAGGCAATTAACTCCTTCAAAAATTAATGTAAAGTTTACTTCTAAAAATGGCACGTGGAAACGTCAATATACCCTACCGGTTTTTCTTGCACAATAGTGCAACCCATTTTTTCATTGTCCTATTCTCAGAAACACATTCAATTTTTTAAATTCTACCTTCTCTTTTCCGATTCTGATAGGTTTCTTACTCTGAAAAGAGGTTGGTTATGTACATGGGGGCATCTATCTTCTCGGCCCCGCTCAAGATCGCCCTACATATCCGTCGATATGAAATGGATATGCATCATCGGATAGAAATATGAAGAAACCTTAATTCAGTTCCAACATGTTTCACTTTACTTGAAGTGTCTTCGAGCATTACACGCGACACACTTGACTTCAAAGTGGTCAAAATTTGATGGAGTTACTTGACCTAAGTTTAGCGTACTATTATATACTTGTGAGTTTGTTTGTTCTTCGGGCGTACAAACTCCCAACGGTGGCGTCTTCGACTCTCGAGGATCTTTGAAAGTGATTCGCTCCCTTGCCTAAAATTCTGACTTCTTGCAATAGTTCACATTTCCAACTTCTGCCAAAAAAATAGATGCCTCCAATGTTCCGTGTTACTTTTTTTCGCTGATGAACTCGAAGCAAAATAAGAAAAGTCGATGTTTTCTTAATCTTCTCCATGATGTGTTTAAAAACTACTTTAGCGAGAGCCACCGTGCCTGAAAATTTTTCACCGGTCGTGGGCGGTTATAATAGGGTAAATAGCCGATAGGTATAGTGTACGGCTTGGTTAGAATTTGCGCTGCCCCGTTTTGCCCACTTTCCCCTATATCTGACTCCTGGGTTGGCAGTTGGGAGTGGTTCTCGTCGATCACCCTTGCAAACTCGGCATGGCTTCTCTCTTCATACGTCTTTCAACGCGTGCGGTTTTCTGCCTCGTTCTGAGATTAGCCCGTATCCGAAGGTTCCTGACCACTAGATTATTATCGGTGCTCAGTAAAGGCACACGCCACACCCTTGTATCCATCACAAGGCCCTACAAATCTGCCGAAACGATCACGTAATCGATCGACGACTGCTGGCACACGGTACCATTCCGACCGTCAGATCCCCTGTTCCAAGTGAATCTGTGGATGTCTTCGTGCTGGAAGAAAGTGTTAGTGATGGTCAGACCATTGCCAGCACAGAAGTTCAGCAACTTCCTGCCACCTCCGTTCAGTGTGTTCCCAAATCGACCGATGACACCCCTCCTGAAAACCCCCCGCGGATCCCGCCGTGAAAACGGCGGGATCCCACCTGTATGGAACCCTTGGATCGGAAAGACGCCGTCGGCCGCGTAGTAAGCATGCCGTTTCTCTAGCGTATATTTCATTCATAGTCCATCATTGGAGATGGACTTCACCGACGTTACGCACGTCGTCGAGATCGAGACGGAATAAGAATGCCTCTCGATAAAAGTCCGTATCATAGGCGTCAAGACCCTCATAAGAGGGTGGGGGATGCGCAAGAAGTACGTCAGCGGCTGCTACGCAGAGCGTTAATGGAGCCGCTGACTGAACTCGTGAATATCGGAATATACCACACGCTTTGCCTCTCACTCGAGAACGGGATGCAGGTGGTGCTGCTTTATATCGTTGAGAGGGCCGCTGAGTTTTAGGGCTGCTGACTGGGTTCGGGAAATTCCGGGAAACAGTTCGTGGACGACATCCACGGTTGTTGTGCCTGTCTCACGTTCGCACTTTCTCTCCGGCCTCCGCAACAGTCGGATCCGTTCTCGGGAATAGGAGAGTCTTTGTGCGGCTTTCGCACCCCCTCCCCCCCCCCACCCCCCATAACTAAGTGATGTTCACACCTCGACGTGAGCTTTCATGCAGGAAACACCCGTCACAATACTTCGAGTCCCGTTTTCCTCCGTGCAAAGGAGCACTCTAGAGCAGTGGTTCTCAACCTGGGAGGTGTCACCATGCATGAATGCATGAAGATTCAATGGGAGTAAAAGAAAGGTTGAGAACCACTGCTCTAGAGGGTGAAAGCGGCGGGATCCCATCAGGATGGGACAGAACAGGATGGCTTATTCTTGGATCGCAAGGATGCCGCAGATTTGGTCGTTACCATCCCGTATCCATATCCGTATATTTCACTCAGGCTTGCACGCAAAGTGATGAAGAGGGTCTTCACGGACTAAGCGGACAGGGTTGTGCATGGAAGCGATGGCCCGAACCCCCACGCCTGACCTACCGAAAAAAAAATACATACAAATAAAAACACTTCAACAAAGATTGTATTCAAATGGAGAGCTTGCAGTCGATCAGTAAAAACGTGATACGCATTCAGTTAGTAGCACCCTTTGATTGCTACAGCTAAGTATGAAGCCTATGGAAATAACAGGATGAGCCACAGCCTATGACGCAGATTGATAAAGCTCGAGGAACCTGGCGTTAAAAGCGTTGCATGGGCAAGCCTATGGCCTGAAGTGACATAGTCTCGTAGGCCTAGCGCGTTTGGGTGACAACCACCATAATTCTCAGGCTCTACTAATTAAAAGTAAAAGATGGCCTAGTTGGCCTGGCCTATGACCCAGAATGGCATAGCATCGTAGACCCGCACGTTGGGTGTGACAGCCACGACCACCACCACAATTTTTGACATTCGAAGCTCAAAATTTGGATATTAAAGTATTGTAAATCATAGAATTCTGAATATCTTTGTGATTTGATTGATATCTAGTCGGAAGCTTCAGGAATCCGTGACGTTTTTCCCTGCATGCCTCCTTCCTCGGAAGGTACGCAAAGCTGTTTCCATGCATCGTGTGGCAGAATGACCCACAATTCAGGTGGTACTTAAATTGATATTGTCGGCGTGTGGTCGCGATACGCTTGTCGTGAGACAGGGAGAGACATGGGAGGATTGGGTCGCTGACCTCCTTCTGGTTGTCTCCACGAGATGCGTGTCACGTATCACACAAGGGAGACTCCCGATATCGTTACCTGAAGAGGTTTTGTAACTCCAGTGTTCGGTCCAGCAAGTTCAAGAAAGAAACTTGACTGTTCTATTTTTTTAGAATTTGAGAAATTACGTGGAATTCCTAATTATGCCAGGGAAATTGGAGGTCCTGGTATAGCAATAAGATAAAATAAGGAACGAAGTCATATTTAAAGACTTTGAGCGATGACTGCGAGTTGTAAACTTGATGAGAGTAAGATTTCCGGCATTTCGCATCGAGTCCCTGGGTGCATCACTCCAGTCCCACGTGAACGTGCTGGGTCCTATTGCAACTAACCAGGTTATGGATGACTTCTGATCCTGTTTCATGGTCCTGTCCGTACGCTTCACGCGCATCCCTCTCCCTATTCCCTCCTCCTGACTTCGTGACCTTGACACGGACTTCATGTCGCTTATTTCTAAGGTTGTGTCCCCCTTCCCCCCGTGTATGCTGGCTCCCTTGTGCTCGCCTTCCAAATGCAGTTTTGCTCTACTTTTTCATTTCGATCACTTACTTGGACGAAGTTGCTTCGGTGTGGCTGCGATTTTGGGAAGTAACAAGTGAGCCCCATTGCTCATATTTGTGGACAATTACATGGATTGAAGACTCAGCCGGCCTCAGGCATCCCATTCTTGTCTTTCCAACTCGGTCGCTCTGCCCCTCATCGCATCCACTTAGGCTCTTGTTCAGGCTTTCCTTCCATTACGGCTCTATTCATCGGATGCGAAACTCCTTACTTCTGAATCTTTGATAGCTATGTTTGGTAAATTAATTAGTTTTCAATATCATTATTCATTTTTATATAAATATATTTCCTCTAGGGAGATAGGTGTGACATTAAAGTCAATTTGATCGGGGGGGGGGGGGGGGGGGGGGGTCCCCCAAAGGGG